AAATGACAATCCTAGTGACAGCTTCTGAAAGTCTCAATGAGTCAATGACTATATTACCATTAAATTTCATTCCAATTATTCTTTTATAAATTTTCATTCAAGGCTGAATATTATCTGATTCTTGAAACTTTAAAGACTTGTCTACAATTCAGCTAAAACAGGGAACATAAAACCCTATCACTATAAAGCAAAAATGGCTCTAAAGTCATAAAAAGAGCTCTAACACATCAGTTTCACCATATTTAATGGATGTAAAATGCTCATTACGTAACTTAAGGTAAACCTAGGGGGAAAAACCTACAAAAAAGTGAAGAAATTAATTCTGAAATTAAAAATTAAAGGTAAATATTTGCTGGGGGAATAAATTAAGTTACACTTTGAGAAAAGGTGACATTATCAATGACACTTCATTTTGAAACATGTTTTTTGATCCAGGTGGCACAATAAAAGAACAAAATTTAATCAGCTAACCATTCCTGAATATAGCAAGTTCAAAGTAAGCCCCATCATCTAGCTGTAAAAAAATAAAACATATGGAAGAGGGCCACAAAATATAATTGTAATGAACTTTATACATAAATCAGAGGCATCCACCAGTAATTTAGGCTCATAAGTGCTTAAAATTTAATAAAATGGAGAGCTATCCCAAAATGAAATCCTCCTTTCCTGACTACATACTGCTTAAGGATACACACAAGCTTATTATAAAACTAGAGGCCCGGTACACAAAATTCGTGTACTTGGGGGAGCGGGGGGTGTCCCTCAGCCCAGCCTGCGCCCTCTTGTAGTCTGGGAGCCCCCAGGAGATGTCCAACTCATGGCTTAGGCCCACTCCCTATGTCAATCAGACATCCTTAGCACTGCCGCGGAGGCGGGAGAGGCTCCCACCACTGCTGCTGCACTCACCATCCCTGAGACCAGCTTCTGGTCTTCTGGCTGAGTGGCACTCCCCCTGTGGGAGCACACTGACCACCAGGAGGCAGCTCTTGCATTGAGTGTCTGCCCCCTGGTGGTCAGTGCACGTCATAGAGACCGGTTGTTCTACCATTCGGTCGATTTGCACATTAGCCTTTTATTATATAGGACTAGTGGCCTGGTGCATGAAATTCGTGCACATTAAAAGGTAATTAATTAGAGGAAATATTTTAGGGTCCAAGGTGCAGGGGAATGGGATTCTTGGTTGGCAGGCCACTGACAGCAAGCTGACCAACGGCCGATTCTGCAAGGAATGGGGCTCCCTCCTCCCTCCTGTCAGCATCTGGGGTGCAGGTGAATGGGATTCCTAGCTGGCAGGCCACTGACAGCAAGCTGACCAACGGCTGATTCTGCAAGAAATGGGGCTCCCTCCTCCTTCCTATCAGGGTCCAGTTTGAAGGCCAGCCACGCCCCCAATTGCGTGAGACCCAGAGTTCCACCGCCCCCCAGCTGGGGCCCAGAGCTCCCTCCCACCGTGCCGAGACCCATCAAATTTATCCTAACTGCCCCCCCTGCAGCCGTCACCCAAGTGCTCG